CCTCCCGTGCTGTAGTCCGACATGGCGCGGCGGGGCCGGGCCTGGCGCGGAGGCAGAAGCTGAGGAGGCGGCGGCGGCTCAACGCGGGAACAAGGCCTCGCTCCACACAGCCGCGGAGCACTCTGGGAACCCAGCGGCTGGGAAGACGACGAGGGGGAGGGGACCGCCCCCTCCCGCCGGCGGCGTGACGGACGGCGGCGTCCGACCAATAGGAGGCGGCAACCGCTCCCAAGACACCAATCGCGGGCTCTCAGGCGAGCGGCCAATCGGACAGCAGCGAAACACAGTAGGCGGGAGGCGCCGAGTGATCGACGTCTCTGGGAAGCAATGGGTTTTGGGCCGTCTTGGCGGGGCGGGCAAATCGAGGGATCCGAGAGAATGGGAGGCCCAATGAAGCTGGAGTTCTAGTTCGCAGGGCGGCTTCGGGACCGGAGTGACGGCTCGGAAGATCAAGTGGACTGAAAGGATGGGCCTACGCAAGGCCTTTTTAAACGGGCTGGATGGGCACCCAGTGGAATGGTCGTGCCCGCCGCCAATGAGTCCCCGCCGTAGGCGGTTCTAATGAAGATTGCTAGCTAGCTTCACCCAATCCCCGAGAAGCTTGACCTGATGCGTTTAGATTTAGACTTGACTGCTTTACCGGTTAACCAGAATCCTTTTCTAGCCCTTACTTCAAAGCTCAGCTAATGGCTGAGCGGCGGGGGCAGGGCCTAGGTGATTGACGCCACTGCAAACAAATGGCAGTGGAGGAGATAAAGGTGCTTGGTTTTGGTCGAAGCCAGTGGACCCTGGTGTAACGCTGTAGGATAAGCACTGGACTGCTCACCGCAAAGTCGGCGGCTCAAACTCAGCAGCCACTCCTCGGAAACCCTGAACAGCGTCGCTATGAATCAGAACCGACTGGGAGGCACTTATGTGGAAGCAGAGCTGCAGTGGGCGGAGCCGACTGCAAACCGCGAGGGAGGATTGGCGGGAACGAGTGTGAATGGCAGGCTACGTGGGCAATGGTCACGAGACGCTCGAATTCAGGCCTGACGTCTGGGCTAGTGCCCTCAGAGCCTGGTTGGATGGGCCCGGCACGCGGTCTTCTTGAGGCCTGGGAGATCGGGTGTTTCCCCAGGAGTAGTGTGGTGGCCTCAGGGAGAAGGAAGCCTAGAGCTCTCCTGACTCTGGGGTCTAGAGCCCCGCTTCTCTCCCAGGTCATGCAGAATCCCAAGTTCTCGGTTTCCCTGCTGAACTCAAGGGCCCATGGCTGCAGTCTCTCCAAGGACCGAGGGATTCTGGCCTCTTAATTTACCACCTGTCTCTTCCTGTAACGTCCTCAACTCAGCTCGCAGAGCCAGGCAGCCAGACCTCCAATGACTCCATCAGGATTCAGGGTCCTAAAGGAGCTCTGGTAGCATAGTGGTTACGAATTTGGCTGCAAGCTGCAAGGTCAGGAGTTCGAAACCACCAGCTGTTCTGCGGGAGATAGATGGGGCTTTCTGCTCCCGTAAAGATTTACAGCCTCGGAAACCCTGTACACAGGGTCACTATGAGTCGGAACCAACTCCACAGCACATAACCACCAACCACCAACTAGTTCTAGAGACCCCAGGTGCCTAGCTTCCGTCTTGGACCCAATGTCTCAGACACACCGGCAGAAATCATTGCTTTATTCCTGGCCTTTGTTCATTCACCATTTTGCCCTTTGAGCCAAGAACATGTCTCCTTGCTCCCAGCCAGTACAAACTGTAGTCCCGGGCAGCACCTTGGAACGGGGCCTCCCCAATCTCCAGATCCAGGCCCCCAGCATGCGCTGTTTCCAAAAACTGCCCCACCCCAGCGCAGCAGGCCTGAGCCTACAGGACTCTCTGGGGCCAGTGGACATCAGGCCCTCCTGTCCAGTTCCACCCAGAACCTCTTGCCTAGCTCGCTGCAGAAACACCTAGAGTTTTCTTCATAACTTCGTACACCAAGTAGCTGATGCCTCCAGCCGGCAGCACCTTCAGGAGCGTGGGAGTCATGCCTCGGTACAGCCCTGGCAAGCCTTGCTGGGCTAGGATCCGCTTAAAGACGCCACGCATGGTGGGGTGCGAGCCCTCCACGGTGTCTGTGGGGACAGAGCCAAAGTTCAAGGCATCAGAGCCATGGCCCAACTCCTAAGAGACTGAAATATTGGTGGGGTGGAGTGGAACCAAGGCTAGCAGTCTGGAGAGGACAGTTGGAATAGTTGGAAAGGGTTTCAGAGGGAATGGGTTCGTTTGGGGGCGGGGATAAGGGAAGCAGTTGTCAATTAGGTATGTACGCGATGTATGTGCTTTAGTAACTCAAGGACTGACCTCAGATTTGGGGGTAAGGAAATAGTTTTGGAAATACTGAGCTTGAGAGTGAGGACCTTAATAGGGGGCTTTGTGAATGTGCTCAGCTAGTGGGGACGTGGTCAAGGTCAGGGGGTGAGGTATGGGCCTGTTTTGAGGTTTGTGGGTTATTTTGTGGACTGAGTATATCTGGGGTGTTAGATATGAGTTCTCAGGATAGTAGGGGAGTAACTGTGAGTTTTCTAGGGGGAGGTCTAAGGGTCTGACAAAGGAGTGCTGGTGGCACAGTGGGTTAAGCTATCATCAAGATCAGTGGTTGAAACCCACCAACCTCTCCACTGGAGAAAGGTGTGGAAGTCTGCTTCCCATCAAGAGTTACAGCCTTAAAAACCGTTTGGAGCACCTTCTTCTCTGTACTGTAGGGTGGTTGTGAGTTGGAATTGACTCCACAGTATTGGGTGGGTAAAGGTCAGACATGTAAATTGGGGGGCTATTCACAGAACCATTTGAGGGCTATCTGATTTGGGAAGTTGCGTCTTTTGGGGAGTTCATTGCTGAGGTGGGAAGTGCGCCAAGCTGCTAACCATAAAATTGGAGGTTCAAATCTACTCAGAGGCACTCGGGTAAAAAGGCTAGAGATTTGCTTCTGAAAAATGGGCCACTGAGAACCCTCTGGAACACAGTTCTACTCTGTCACATGCCAGGGGGCTTCAAAGAGTTTGTGGGAAAATGGATTTACAAAAGGAATTTTCCTACAAACTCTTTGAAGATCCCTTGTATGGGGTTGCCGTGAATCAGAATCTAAGCGATGGTCAATGGTTTGTTTGGGGGTCTGTGTGGGATCCTGGGCCACATTGTCTAGTAAGTTCGGGAGGTATGCTTTAGTAAGTCCTAAGGACTGACCTCAGATTTGAGGGTAAATATGAGTTTGGGTAGGTTGGGGGCCAGCGAAGGCTGCCAGATCAGATAGGGAGAATGAGGGGTTCTATCTTGGGGCATGTGGTGGCCACCAGGGGACCAGGCTGACCTTGAGCTTGCATCCGGGTGCGCACCAAGGTCAGCGGGTAGCTGGCCATCTGGCCGCAGGTTGTGGACAGTGTCACAGATGACACGCTGACCATCAGGCCATTGGGGTCCTCCACATTTTGGCCTGACTTCCGCCAGAAACTCTGCATCATCTGCAAGGGAAAGAGGGGGCCAGGAGAAGGCTCACGATTGGCCCAAGCCCAGGTCCTTCCATCACCCCAACTGCAGACCCCTACCTTGTAGACGGCCAAGTCGGTGCAAGCATAGGGGATGATGCCCAGCATGTTGGGCAGGTAGCCGCGGTAGAAGGCTCGGGGCCCCTCCTGCTCCAGGATCTGCTGGGCACAGTCCTGCAGCCCCTTGTACTGGCCCGTCCAGCCCAGAGTCAGCCTCGTCTTAAGAACCTGGGAGGACGAAAGAGGAGGAGATTCGTGTTATTTAACCCTCTTAGTGATAGTCATGGAATGAATTGTGTGTGTGTGTGTCCCCAAAAATTGGCATTGTAAATTCTAGCCTCTATACCAAGTGGATGGGTCCTGGGGTGGCATTGTGGGTAAATGCGCTGGACTGCAAAGTTGTTTGAACCGCAAAGTTTGGAGGTTCAAACCCACCCAGTTCCACTGCAACAGACAGACCCGGTGTTCTGCTCCCATAAAGATGGCTGCTTAGAACACCCTATGAGGGCAGTTCTTATCTGTCAACTTTCCCCATAAACTGTGTTAAAATTTCTATTAGTTAAAGTCACCCCGCTTGTGGTATTTCGGAGACGGCAGTAATAAGAAAGGAAGGCAGTGACTCTTAGCAGTGAAGGTGAATCCTATCTTGCAAATGAGGAAATGGAGGGCTCAAGAACACAAAGAGGGAAGCTGGAAACTCCGAGCTGTCTGATCCCTGGATTTGTGTCTGGGATCCACCCCAGGACTCTGAGAGGTCACCAGGAAAGTGGGTGGAGCCAAGCATGCTCTGGGACAGCTCCAGCAGAGCCCACAGGGCCTAATCTGCCAGTTTTCCTGAAGGACCCAGAGATCTCAGTTTTTAGGGAATGTCCCAATATTAAAACAGCGGTGTCTTAACACTTGGTACAAAAGACGAAGCACCTAGAGCGGTGACCAGAATTCTAAGTTGGTCTCTGAGATTCTTGCTCCCTGAAGGAACTGGGATCTATACCCTATAGACTTCCTGTCTCGTTGAGCATGAGTGGGACATGTGACTATGAGCCCTATCCACCCCTGCTTTGTTGTTGTTGTTGTTGTTGTTGTTGTTGTTGCTAAGTACTGTCAAATCGGTTCCAACTCAGCAATCCTGTACAGGGTTTCCAAAGAGTGGCTAGTGAGTTTGAACTGCCGACCTTGTGGTTCCGTGTTTATCCTACAGCACCACACCAGGCCTCCATATATATATATATAGAGAGAGAGATCTGGAGTTCTGGCATGGCGCTGTAGGTTAATGTGCCAAATTGCAAAGCTGTTTGAACTGCAAGGTCGGAGGTTCAAGCTCATGGAGATGATTTTTTTAATGACTACAGTAGCGTAGGAGCTCTGGTAGTGTAGTGGTTACGAATCGGGCTGCGAACCTTAAGGTCAGCAGTTTGAAACTGCCAGCTGTTCTGCAGGAGAAAGACCCTGCTGTACAGGGTCGCTATGGGTCAGAACTGACAACTCCATGGCACATAACTGCAAGGTTAGCAGTTTGAAATTACCAGCTGCTCCGCAGGAGAAAGATGAGGCTTTCTGCTCCCATAAAGATTTACAGCCTCGGAAACCCTGTTCAGGGTTGCTGTGGGTCAGAATCGACTCGACGGCACTTAACAACAACGACGACAACGATCTGACATTGGAGCCTGGTGTGGCGCTGTGGGTTAATGTGTCAGACTGCAGAGCCATCTGAACTGCAAGGTTGGTGGTTCGCTATGGGTTGGAACGGACTTGACAACACTTAACAATAATGTGACATTTGTCTTGGTTCTGTAGAATAATAATTTGAGAACTTTTTGAACTGCGGCCCATACTGAAGGTTGTGGTGCCCTTTGATCTTCATCAGTAAGTATTTGAAGTCCTCTTTGCTTTCAGCAAGTAAGGTTGTAGGTATCATCTGTATGTTGCAGGTAGTTAATGAGTCTTCCTCCAATCCTGATGCCACATTCTTCTTCATATAATCCAGCTTCACGGATGATTTGCTCAGTATACAGATTGAATAAGTATGGTGAAAGAATACAACCCTGGCACACACCTTTCCAGTGTGGATTACACCCCAACATAAAACAAAATTCCTCACAACTGGACCAATAAGCACCATCAGGATAAAAGAAAAGACTGAAGTTGCCAAGGATTTCATTTTACTTGGATCCACAATCAACACCCATGGAAGCAGCAGTCAAGATATCAAAGACAGATTGCAGTAGGCAGATCTGCAAAAGACCTCTGTCAAGTGTCAAAAAGCAAAGATGTCACTTTGAGAACTAAGGTGCACCTGACCCAAGTCATGGTATTTTCAGACACTTCATATGCTTGTGAAAGCTGATCAAAGAATAAAGGAAACCATGAAATTGATGCCTTTAAATTTGGCGAAGAACACAAAACATGCTCTGAAGTCTCAGCAGAAGGAGCAAAGTAGGTAAAATTCAAGCAAAATGGCAAAACTTTGGCTATGTTGTCAAGAGGAATTGATGGCTAGAAAAAAACGTTAAGTTCCATCAAGTCTATTCTGACTCATAGTAACTGTATAGGGTTTCCTAAGAGTGGCTGTTGGGTTTGAACCACCAACCTAGTGGTTAGCTGTCTACTGATTATCCATTTGGTAAACTTGAGGGTCAGCAAACTCTTCAATGAGATGGGTTGACACCGTAGGTGCAACAATACACTCAGCGTTTCTTTCTGGGCATCATTTCGTTCTGTTTAATATAAGGAGGGTCCGCATCAAAAAGGAGGATCCCCCAATGAGATGATTGGCACAGTGGCAGCAGCAGTAGGCTCAAGTGTAGTGACCATTGTGAGCATGGTGCAGGACCGGACAGTGTTTCGTTCTATTTATTGTGCACGGGGTCCCTGTGAGTCAGAACCGATTCGATGGCATCTGACAACAACAATATGCATAGGGTCACCAAGAGTCAGAGCCAACATGATGGCAACTAAGAATAACACAACAACATGGAGAGAATCCCAGTGTTCCATGGGGTTCTCCCAAGAGCTGAACCAAGTGGTGAATGCGCAGCACTCGGCCCAGCGCCTGCAACACGGTCACCCCTCAGTGTGTGGAAACTGCGGTGTGTTTTATCTCATTTCATCGTCTGTGGGGCAGGTCTTCCCTTACCTCCATGGGATTGATGAGTGTCTGGGAGATAGCCACAGCGAGGGAGCCAGCGAGGATACGTTCCTGAAAGGGTGGCGAGCCATGGAGACCGCAGAAGTGATTCTTACACTGGGACAGGAGACAGGAGCGTGAGGGAAGCTAGCTGTCTACTTACCTACCTCAAAGTCACCCCAGGGAAGGGGCCCAGGACTCAGAGGGCAGACGTGTGTCCTTTGATGAAGGACTGGGCTTACGGGGTAGGGACTGGGGAAAGCAGACCTAACCCCACCTGCTCAAAGACTGAGAACTTGATGGCGTATTCAGGAGCGATCTTGAGCACATTGATACCATTACCACGCCATAGGGAGCGGAAGCCCCCCTCTTGGACCATGCTCCGTAGTCCCCCCAGCAGGTTCATGAAGTTGCTCTTGGAGGAGTAGACCTGAGGGTAGAAAGGACCCTGACCCTTTGAGGAGTCTCTTGCCCCATCTGCATTCCCCTCCCTATCCCAGCCTAGAACCCCATTTGCCCCCAGCCAGCCCAGCTCCAAGTCTCTCCCCACCCCAACCCCATTGCATCCTCAGTTCCTCCCATGACTCTTCATAGGATTCTGCAGCTCAGTCCCCAACTCAGCCCCTACTCACGTTTTCATCTCATCCCTCATCTCCTCCCTGGTTCTAATTTGTCTTTAAACCCAGCCAGAGACCTCATGTCCAATTTCCTGGTCCCCTACTCCAACCCTTGTCCAGTGCTGAGCCAAGTCCCTGAAACCATTCTTGCAAGTCCTTCCCCAACTTACCTCCCTGTCTCGTCCATGTCAGCTCCACCGTGATCCACAACTCCAACCTTAACACCAACCCCCACAATCCCCAGTTCCAACCTCCATTCCATCATTATCTCTCTTCAGTCTCCTCCTCCACCTCCAACCCTCATACCTGTCTCCAACATACCCCCAGCCCCATCCTGAACCCCATCTTCACGGTTCCAGCCATCCCCACCCTATGCTGTTCTCAGCAGCTCAAGCACTATGTCCCCTCCCTATGTCCACACCTGCATGTACACTTTCGCTCGGTCCAGAGGGGCCGTGCCAGTGCGTGACACGGCCCCAGCCATGGCTCCTGAAAGCAGAAACTTCCACCAGACTCCCTCCTTGTCCACTTCCAGGACCTCCACTGGGACCATCAGCTGCTCGCCTGTGTCCAGCACCTGTGGGGTCAATCCAACCCCACCCCCTAAGACTCAGTGGGTCCTATGTCCCTTGCCCGGGTGTATCTTCAAGTGCAAGGTCTACCCTGGCCCTCATTGTTTTGCTGTGGCATTCTGGCCAGCTTGGAGGGTGTTATGGATTGAATTGTGTGTCCCTCCAAATACATATTGTAAATCCTAAGCCCAGGTGGTTCATTGTTAAGGTCAGCATTTGGAACACCCCCGCCCACTGCCCACCACCACTCCATCCATTCCCACTCATAGTGAGTACTAGATTTCCAAGACAACAGCAGACAGTCTTCTCTTTCTCCAAGAGAGCGGCTGGTGGGTTTGAACCACCAACCTTGCGGTTATGAGTCAGGTCTTTCTTTGGGGGCAGTAATCCACAGTGCCACCAGGGCTGCTTTCAACCCAGAAACCCTAAGAAGGCAGTTCTACTGTCCTACAAGGCCACAGGAGGAGATCCAGAATCAACTCAAAGGCAATGAATGGATTTGTACCTGTGCTTCTAATCCACTTGGGAATGGGTTTTCCTTGTTCTGTTAATGAGGCAGTATTTGTGTAGGTTGTGCACTGAGTCACTAAAAAGAAACAAGGAACTTCCCCCACTGTAGACATTGGGGGGCTGGGGAGGGAGGGGACGGGAGGGAAGAGAGAATCTTCCCCTAGAGCCAGCGCCCTGCATTTGGACGTCTAGCCTTCTGTGAACTAATAAATATCTGTTTGTAAAAGGTACCCCCTTGTGGTGGTTCTGTTACAGCCGCACCAGGGAACTAAGGTATCGGGGAAGCAGCAGGACAAGCCCCTCTGCAGGGCCAGCTGCGGGTGCCAGGGGGCCTTCTGGTTCCCAGTCTCACCTGCTGTGATGAATGATGCTCCAATTGGTCCTCAGGCACGTGCCCAAACACATACCTGTATACAGGGGCACACCCTGAGTTCTGGGTGGGGGGCAGTGGGGGTAGGGGTGAGCAAGACTTAGGAGGTCTCTCCGAGCAAGTACCCATGGCAGTCTCTGATGGGAGTGACTAGTGCTGGGAGGAGGACCACTTGGGGACAATGAGGTCACAGAAGCTCCTGTGACCTTGCTGGGTGTGGCAGGCAAAATAGTGGTGTCCTTAACACTGTCCCCAGCAAGAAAACCCCTCTGTCTTCAATTCCAACTCATAGCAAGCCTATCCAACACAATAGAACTGCCCCATAGGGAGTCCTGGTGTGGCACTGTGGGTTAATGCGCCAGACTGCAAAGCTATTTGAACTGCAAGGTCGGTGGTTCAAGCTCACCAGCTGCTCCTTGGAAACCCTATACAGGGTCTCTATGGGTCGGAACCGACTCGAGGGCACTTCACAACAATAGGGTCTCCAAGGAATCTGTACAGAAACAGACTGTCATGTCATTCTCCCAAGGAACCACTGGTGACTTACAACCAACAATCTTTTTGTTCACAGCCAAGCACTTAATCACTGCACCACTAATTACACTGTACCTATTACCCAAAGTCTGTAAATCTGCTTCTTGTTGTAACGTGCCGTGGAGTCGGTTCCGACTCATAGCGACCCTGTACAGGGTTTCCGAGGCTGTAAATCTTTACAGGAGCAGATAGTTTCATCTTTACATGGCAAAAAATTTAAAATATATAGTTGCCAATGAATCCTACTCACGGCACCACCATGTACATCAGAGTAGAAGTGTGGCCCATAGGGTTTTCTTGGCTGTCATCTTTAAATCTGGACTATTAACCAAAAAGTTGTTAGTTCAAACCCTCCCAGAGGTGCTTCAGAAGTTAGGCTTGGTGATCTGCTTCTAAAAGGTCAGCCTTGAAAACCCTGTGGAGCACACAGTTCCACTCTTACACTCACGGGATTGCCATGAATCAGGATTGAGAATTCTGGTGTGGTGCTGATGGAAATGCACAGGACTCTTCACTGCAAGGGTGACGGTTCAAACCCACAAGCCGTTCCTTAGAAACTCTATACAAGGTCACTATAATTCGGAACCAACTCCATGTTACTTAACAAAACAAAACAAACAAGCAATATATGTATATGTATATATATATTTATATTTATATAAACAATTTCTGCATGTATAGTATTAACTGGTCTTCTAGTTAATACCATATTATTCAAATTTACGCCCCAACCACTAAGCCAGTGAGGATGAAATAGAAGAATTTTACCAACTTCTTCAAACTGAAATTGATCAAACATGCAATCAAGATGTACTGATCATTACTAGTGATCGGAATGCAAAGGCTGGGAGCAAATTGGAAGGATCAGTAGTTGCAAAATATGGCCTTGGTGATAGAAATGATGCTGGGGAACACATGATAGAATTCTGCAAAACCAATGATTTCTTCATTTCAAATACCTTCTTTAGACGGCATAGGACCTCGCCAGATGAAATACATAGAAATCAAATTGACTACATCTGCGGAAAGAGACGATAGAAAAGCTCTATATCATCAGTCAAAACAAGGCCAGGGGCAGATTGTGGAACAGACCATTAATTGCTCACATGCAAATTCAAACTGAAACTGAAGAAAATGAAAACAAGTCAAAATATGACCTTCAGTATATCCCACCTGAATTTAGAGATCATCTGAAGAACAGATTTAATACATTAACCACTAAAGACTGAAGACCAGAAGAGTTGTGGGATGACATCAAGAACATCATACAGGAAGAAAGCAGAAAGTCATTAAGAAGACAAGAAAGAAGGA